GTGCGTGACAGGGGGTGGCGCTGCAACCTCCCCATCGAACCTGCCTTGAGTGTGACGGGGGGGCAGCACCCCAATCCCCCAATCGGCCCTACCCTGAGCATGACTGGGGGTGGCATCACAACCTCCCAATCCGCCCTGATCTGTGCATGACAGGAGGTGGCGCCCCAACTCCCCTATCAGCCCTGTTCTGAGTCCAACCAGGGGCTGCACCTAGGGATTGGGCCTGCCCTCTGCCACCCGGGAGCAGGCCTAAGCCAGCAGGTCGTTATCTTCCAAGGGGTCCCAGACTGTGAGAGGGCACATGTGGGGCTGAGGGAAATGCCCCCACCCCACCCCGCGACAGTGCACAAATTTTTGTGCACCAGGCCTCTAGTATATATATATATATCTTTGTGAATAAATGTTTTTGAGCTTTGGGGGTAGATACCCAGAAGAGGGACTGTTGGATTCTATGATAACTCTCTTCTTAATTTTTTGAGAATCATCCATACTGTTTTCCATAGTGGTTGTACCCGTTTACATTCCCACCAGCAGGGAATGAGCTTTCCTTTTTCTTCACAACCTCTCCAACACTTGTTATTACCTGTCTTGTTGAAAATAGCCATCTAACAGGTGTGATGTGGTATCACATTGTAGTTTTTATTTGCACTTTTATAGTAGCTAGTGCAGGTTAACATGTTTTCATATTCTGTTGACTGTATGTCTCCTTGGGAGAGCTGCTTTTTTAGTTCCCCTGCCAATTTCTTAATCGGATTGTTTGTTTGCTTGGTGTTGTCTGAGTTCTTTATGATTTTGGATATTAGCCCCTTGTTGGAGCTGTTGTTTTCAAATATCATCTCCCATTCAGTTGGTTGCCTTTTTGTTTTGTTGTCAGTTTCTTTTGCTGCACAGAGCTTTTGAGTTTGATATAGTTCATGTCATTTATTTTTTCCTTTTCTTACCTTCGGGGTCAAATTCATAAAATGTTCTCTACAACCAAGGTCCCTATGTTTAGGACCTATGTTTTCTTGTATGCAATTTATTGTTTGAGATCTTATATTTAGGTTCTTGATCCACTTTGTATTAATTTTTGTACCTGGGGACAAACTGTAATCTAGATTCATTCTTTTGCATCTGGCTTCCCAACTTTCCCAGTGCCATTTATTGAAGAGGCTCTCTTTTCTCCTTATGGTGTTTTGGTCTCCTTTGTCAAAAATTATTTGCCCATATACATGTGGTTTTATTTCTGGGCTCTCAATTCTGTTGCATTGGTCTGTGTGTTTGTTTTTCTGCTAATGCCGTGCTGTTTGGATTATGATAGCTCTGTAGTAAAATTTGAAGCCAGGTAGTGTGATACCTCTGGCTTCGTTCTTTTTCTCAGGATTGCTCTGGGTATTAGGGGGCCTTCATGGTTACATACAAAGCTGATGATTTTGGTTCTGTTTGTTTAAAAAAATGACTTTGGATTTTGACGGGGATCACATTAAATCTATATATTATTTTGGGTAATATGGCCATTTTAGCTATATTGATTCTTCCAATTTATGAATACAGAATATCTTTTCATTTCATTGTGTGTTTTTCAATGTCTTTTAATCATGCTTTGTAGTTTTCAGTACATAGGTTCTTCATATCCTTTGTTCAGTTTATTCCAAGGTATTTTATTCTTATGGTTGAAATTGCAAAAGGACTTTTGTTTTCATTTATTTTTTTTGAGGTTTTGTTGTTAGTATATAGGAAAGCAGTGGATGTTTTACATTGATTTTATATCCTGCAACTTTCAGTTTTACACCATTGTGTATGATATAGGCTGGAAATTTGTCATATATGGTCTTTATTATGTTGAGGTACTTTCCTTCTACACCCATTTTATTGAGTATTTCAATCACAACTGGATGTTGTAGCTTATCAAATGCTTTTCCTGCATCTATTGATACGATCATATGACTTTTTATCCTTTATTTTGTTACTGTGGTGTGTCACCCTGATAGATTGTATATGCTGGCTGAGCTATCTTTGTACCATTAGAATGAACCCCACTCAATCACGATGTATTATTTTTAAAAATATATTATTACATTCCATTGCCTAATATTTTGTTTAGGATTATTGCATCTGCATTTGTCAGTGATATTCGTCTCTAATTTTCTTTTTCTGTGTTATTCTTGCCCGGTTTTGGTATGAGGGTTAGGTTGGCCTTATAAAATGTGTTAGGAAGTATTGCCTATTCTTCAATATTTTGGAAGATTTTCAGAAGAATAGGCATCAAATCTTTGAATATTTGGTAGCATTTACTAGTGAAGCCATCTGGTGCTGTATTTTTATTTATTTATTTTTTTGCATGGTTTTTCTTGGCCATTTCAGTTGTTATGCCTACGTTCCCTCCCTTCTCTTTCTTCTTACAACAGTCTCTTCAGCATTTCTTGTAATGCTGGTTGTGTGGCAATAAAGTCCTTTAGCTTTTGTGTGTGTTTGTATCTGTGTGTCTGGGAAGCTTTTTATTTCACCTTCAATTGTGAATGATAGCTTTGCTGGCTAGAGTAGTCTTGGATTCAGATCCTTGCTTTTCATGACTTTGAATGCTTCATGCCATTCACTTCTGGCTTATAGTGTTTCCGTTGAGAAATCAGCTGACAGCTTTATGGGACCTCACTTGTAGGTAACTGACTGTCTTTCTTTTGCTGCCCTTATGATTCTGTTTTTGTCTTTAAAGTTTGCCATTTTAATAGTGTTGTATCTTGATGTGGGTCTCTTTGTCTTCATCTTTATTGGGACTTTGTGAACTTGTATGACATTTTCCTTCTCCAGGTTAGGAAGTTGTCTTTCATTCTTTCTTCAGTTTTTTTCTCCCTTGCTCACTCTCCTCTCCCTCTGGTACCCCTATTTGTAGGTATTGTTCCCCTTCATGTTGTACCAAAGTTCCCTTACACTATTCTTGTTTTTTTTTAAATATTTTGTTAAAGCAACATATTTGATTTGGTCCCAACCCGTTTTTTCAGTGTATTCTTGATGTCAGCTACAGGAAACTTCATTTCTGACAGGTTCTTATTCATGAAAGCCATTTTCATCATCATTTGAGATCTGACTCTTCTCACTTGTGTTGGTGTAAGTGAGGAAGGCAAAGGTTATCATTGTAACAGGAGTGTCTGGGTTGGATCATAAATAAAATTAGACATTGTTGTAATGTGGAGTTAGACAAAGCAAACACTATAGTTTGTGTTATAGGGCTATGGTCTGCAAACTGTGGCTCGCAAGCCACATATGGCTCATTGGCCCCTTGATTGTGGCTCTTCCACAAAATATCACGTGCGGGCGCACACATACAGTGCGATTGAAAATTCATGGTCCATGCGCAGAAGTTGGTTTTTGGCCTACGAGAGTCTATTTTGAAGAAATACTGTTTATATTTGGCTCTGTTGACTAATAAGTTTGCTGACCTCTGTTGTAGAGGGATACCAGGGCATTGACAGGGAGTACTTAATAGGCTAGGAGGTAGCAATTAATAGAAACTAAATTGCAAACAGAAAAAACATATAGGGCTTCTGAAATAAAAATCTGAAATAAATAGGATTTTGTGTAGCTACCAGGATCAGACTTGTCAGGTAGGCTCTGTGGGGAGTGGAGAGCAATGGTACAGTTCAGTTCAGCCTCCATGCTGATCCAGATCTCTGGGAGGCACACGAGCATCCTAGGATGGGGATGTTAATAATGAACGAGTTTTATCATTTGGGGCACAAGTGGCTCTACTTTGGGATCCTGCTTCAAAAAAATTGCATTGTGGGAAACAAGAGCCTCTGCTACCAGCCAAGGAAACTGGCATTACAGCCTCTACAACACACAAGGAGAAGCCACAGCAGCAACAACACCCAGGAGCAGCACCACCATTGGAGTGGCCAAAGGAGAGCACTGCAGGCATAGGCAGCTGGTGTGTGGACCTAGGCAAAGGCTTGATGCAAGAGATGAAGTCACGCCCTAACTGGTTTGGCTCAGTGGATAGCACGACGGCCTGCAGACTGAGGGGTCCCAAGTTTGATTCCTGTCGGGGGCATGTACCTTGGTTGCAGGCACATCCCCAGTGTGGGGTGTGCAGGAGGCAGCTGATCAATGTTTCTCTCTCATCGATGTTTCTGACTCTATCCCTCTCCCTTCCTCTTTGTAAAAAATCAATAAAATATATTTTTAAAAAAGTGATGAAGCCACAGGGATCTAGAAGGGAGCAGAGATGACAGCGACAGCAGTAGGGCAGGCAACTGCCCCATGGCCACTGGAAGTCAGAGTTTCCTGGGGGATGCCCGCAATTGTGTATCAGGGGTTCAGGGGTCCAAACTGCTTACTAGAGCAATACACAGAGGAAACACCAGCTAAGGAAGTGGAGAGATGACGGCAAGGATGTAAGGACATCCATCCCATAGAAAGCAAGTGAGGGGCTCTCCAAGATCTAGACCAGGAAGCAAAAGAGTGACCCCTGCAGGTAGCAGCTCCCCTGCCACTGTCCTCACAGAATGCTGCAGTCTCTGCAACTCCTCTCGCTCCTCCACCCCTGCCCAGAAATGCCAAGAAGCTCCCAGCTCTTTCCCACTATCTGGGTAGTAATGTTGAGGTGAAGGACAAAGAGAAGTTGGCACAGCAAGCCCTGCTCTTGAAATACGCAAATGCATATGCTTTTGCAATAGTTGTAGGTTATTGTGCAATTTGCTTCCTCATCTGCCCCTCACTCTGCTTCCCTGGCTTTGGCCTTTGGTGAGTGGGATATGACACCTACCCGGACCCCAGATGCCATTCTCTGGAATTCAGATTCGTGAAAATCTGTAAAAACCAGACACTGGTGATGACACTTAACACAGGGCTCAGTGAGGTGCAGATGCGGTCATGGACTGAGGGTGCTCTGTAAACTCTAAGGTGACATGTGTGTAGTGGAAGATTTCCAGACCCAGATGGGGTGAGTGTGAGTAAACAAGGAAGAACATTGTCCAAAAGAGTTCTTAAAAGGCCAACACCGGGTGGTTCAGCATAAATAGCCCGTGCCTGTGGGCCAGGGAAGCGCTCATTTGCCTGGAGACCCTGACCCTGGAGGAAGCAATGGTGAGTGTCTGTGCCTGCCTCTATTTTTGTTTCCTCTGTGTCCAGTGAATGTCCCCCTGCCCATTTGGGGTGCTCTAATGTACTGGTGTTGAGGAAGACAGGGTCTTTGTAGCTCTTCTGCTCTGGGAGGTGTGGGTGTGGGTGTGGGTATGAGAGGGCAGCATAGTGGGGGAAGAAGGACCATTCTTCTGCCCCTCACTCTGCTTCCTTTGCTCAGTGGGAGATTAGCCTTCTGGGCTGGGGGACGGTGGGTGAGTGGGATATGACACCCACCCGGACCCCAAATGCCATTGTCAGGAAGCCTCAGGTGGGCATGCAATTTCAACTTCTCGCTTGGCTCTCTCCATCCCTGATTTCTTCAAAGGAAGGTGTTGGAGGAAAAACATCCCAGGCATTCCCAGGCCCAGGGTCAAAATCCATCCTGGTACCAACTGCCCGTTGGACATGGATAAACATGATTTTCTTTTAGCTCATATTTTGTTCTAAAAATACACCCACTGAACAAGTTTACTAATTTCCTATTAATTTTTAGAGGCATCATTTTTCAATAATACTTTAGTCTGACATTGAGGCATAAAGTGAACACTATGTTGTTTAGGGAGATGTGGTTCTGCCCAATACCTCTATAGGTCAGGGAGGAGGCCTCATCCAAGTCCTAGGTCCCCAACCCTGTGAGGGGGCTCCTGGCCAGGCCCTTTCTGCTACAGTGAGCTGTGGTGCCCTCTGTGCCATCTTGAGCTTTTGGGCAAAATGCCTGTGGCTTTTCATTCTTCCCCAGATGTGGGCACAGGGCCCTAGATGTGGCAGCTGCACACCAGGGGGCAATGCCCTGGCTCTGGCTGGAGCCTTTGGTGCTCGTGGCCGAGCCTCTGCCCCAGCAAGTGCCACGCTGCTGGCCTGTGAGCTTGCCTGGTGTTTAGAGACTCCCATGATGCCCGAGGAAGTGGTAAACTCAGAATGAGAAAGAACTGGTGCCAACAGGGTCCTCTGCAGCCCAGAACCACCAGCAGGTGGAGAAGAAAGCACTTCTGTGGCCAGGAAAGCCCTCCACTGCCTCCCCCTCAGGCTGCCTGGCAATCCCTTCTCCTTGACTCTGTCCTTCAGGCTTGTTCTCAGCCTCTGCCACTCCCGTGGGTGCTTTCCTGGCTGATAACTTTACAGTTTCTCTCAAGAGGAAAGAAGCTCACCATTGGGAGTGACGAGGTCCTGCACCCACCCTGACCTCACTTACCTGCAGAGTCCCTCTCACATGTCACTGGACACCCTATTGAACATCTGTTTTTTCTCCACCTAAAACCACCATTTCCTGACGGAGCTCACCTCACATGCCCTCCTCCACGAGGCCCCTCTCCCAAGTCGTCCCAGGTGGAGGGGCAGCACTCTAAGCATCCCAGGGTCTCTCTAGCTATTCTGAGAACTTTTTCTGGATTCCATCTGGAACTTTCTTCATAGAGACAGTGTCTAGTCCAGGAATGGCAGACCACCTGGCAAACATGTATCCATGTGCCCATCTTGTGTTAGGAAAGATGTCACTGAGCATTCTGGCTCTTTCCAGACAAGCACTGAAACCACCAGTGCTGGTCCATCCAAGGCTACAAGTGACAGGAAATGGGTTTGCCTGGCCACCTTGTTGATACAGAGAGGGAGACGGAGGTTCAAAGAGGGGAACTCTCCTGCCCAAAAACACTTCATGACTCCTTCCTGATGTGACATGTAGCCTCAGTGAGGAGTTCACAGCCCAGCCGTGCAGATGGCAGTGAAAGGGAAGTCACTAGAAGGGACAAAACGGGGCATCTGAGAAGAGGTAGATGTTGCTGATACCCATGTCAGAGTTTAGCTGGGTAACTCATGCCCTCCCAGGCCAGACTGTATGGCTGCCTTGTCCGAAATTGCTTTCAGAGTCCTGCCGCTTCTGATCCCACAGAAGTTGCAAGGCGGTTGGAAAGTGCCTCTCTGAATTCAGGGCGCTGTGCTAAGTACTAACCCGTGTTCTGAAAGCAAGAGCACGTCCTTTCTCTTTCTGTCCACCCCGAAGGCCATGCTTCTTCTCCTCTCCGTGCTGGTCCTGCTCACACAGCCTCCAAGGTCATGGGGAGCAAATGTGACAACCCTTCCCCAGAAACCTTTGATTGAAAACTGCACCCTGGTCACGTGTAGCCCTTTGGAGATTGGACTGCCTGGTCGTGATGGACGAGATGGCCCCTTGGGCGAGAAGGAGGATCCAGGTAGAGCTGGGACCATGGGCTTGTCCTGGTGGGCATGGGTGGGCACTGGAATTGTAACCAACTCAGCAACTCGATATTCTGCTGTGGAAGCCCTGGAAATGGAAGCCCACCTCCTTGGGAAGAAGTCCCCTAGACATTCAGTCCACCTAAAGCACCTCGTTACCAGTTGGCAAATGACAGGCTGCCCTGAGCCCCGAGGTGTTATTCCCCTGCCTAGCTGTCAGGACTCCTCCCCTAGGATCTTCTGATTCTTCTCACCCCAACAATGAGCAAATTGTGGGTAACTGGCTGGTCTCTGGGGCCCCATAGAACCAAGCTGTGGCACTTATAGTTGTTCATTGTGGTGTAATGATTTCTGTGCAGTGTGTGAAATATCTAACTAAATTCTACTGCATGAGAGGTTGGCAAAGATGAGGCCCTGTGGCCCCACACTCAGGCCTGATCAAAAGGATTTACCTAAATGCACTACAGAGAGGAGGAAAGGGAGCTCATATTTTATAACTGGACGTTTGTAGCTTTTGACCTTCACCCGTTTTGCCCACCACCCAGCTCCCATCTTATGTAACCACCAATAATCTGATCTCTGAATTTGTAAGTTCAGGTTCTTTATTTTGTTTCTTAGAATCCAGATATAAGTGAGATCATACTGTCTCTGTCTTAATTTGTATGACTTATGGCACTTAGGATAATTCCTTCAAGATCCATTCCTGTTGTGGCAAATGGTAGGATTTTTTTATGGCTGAATAATATTCCAGTGTATGTGTGTGACATTTTTATCCATTCATCCATTATGGGCACTATTAGGTTGTTTCCATCTCTTGGCTACTGTAAAAAATGTTGCCATGAACATGAGGGTACAGATATCTTTCACATTACTATTTTATTTCCTTTGGATAAAACCCAGAAGTGTTATTGCTGGATCATAATTTTTTTTAAATGATCTTTTTAATATCTTAAGGAAAATCCATACTGGTCTCCATAGGGGCTGCATCAATTTATAATCCCACCAACAGTGCACAAGGGTTCTTCTCCACATCCTCACCAACACTTGTGAGATTTGTGTTTTTTATAGTCGCCATTCTAGGAGGTATGAGATGATATCTTGTGGGTTTGATTTGCATTTCCCTGGTGACTCATGTCAGGGATCATTTCTGATATAAAGTTTGGTCCTAGGAAGGGGAAAGCCAGGAGTCCATGATCCCCGGTAAAAGCTGGCAGATCCCCTGCTGTAATCCTGCAGCCTCAGGCCAGGGAGGGTGCACTGCATGGAAATAAGACAGTTTTTGGCATGACCCCCTCCAGCTCTGGCAGGCCTGTTTCCTCGCCTGTGAAACGGGGATGTGCACACCCGTCTCCTGGGTCACCACTGGACTGAGGAGTGTGGAGGTGGAATGTCTACACCTGCGGAACCTGAAGGAATGCAGGGCTGACCTGCAGGTGCTGCGCCTCCTAGGCCCAGGGCCAGGTTTATGCCCATTTCTTCTGCTGCTACAGGTTCACCAGGAGAGACAGGGGCAATGGGGATGATGTATGTCCTTAAAGGGGAAAATTACTCTGCTGGAGAACCTGGATGAAAGGGAGACTCGGGGCCACGTGGTGAGCAGTGGGCGTGGACTGCAATGCCTGCCACTAGGCCATGCAGGAGGATGCACATACCCATCCCAGGAAGGAGGGTGCCCTGCGGGTGGTGCTGGGTTCACGCAGGGAAGGCTGTAATACTGCTGGGCGGTGTCTGTAGGATGGTGCTGTTCTCTGACCTCTATGACTGCTCTCACCTTCTCACGCTCTCCCACTTCTGAGAAGACTCAGTGCACTGACTGGATGGTTCTTTTCCCAGGACCTCTTGGACCTGCAGGTGTGCCCAAGCCTGCTGGAATAGAGGGTCCCTCAGGAATGCAGGGCAATGTAGAACCCCCAGTTAAACCAACTCCCGAAAGAGAGGCTGGAGCATCAAATAACCCAGGAATGGGGAGTACTTCAGTGATGTGCAGGCCATCTCTCCCCCCAGCGATGTGCTCCCTGACTCTCAGATTTTGCTGTGAAATGCCATCTGGATCAGAGTTAGTGGGGTGACAGGACCTGCTAAGGGCACAGTGTGCTCACAACAGAGCCTCAGGGAACTGTGGGCAGGAGGGGCAGCTGTGTCAGCGGCTGTGGGTTTCCTGGGCCCAGCTCCTTAACCTCCCCCAGGAAGCCTGTCACTGAGCACCCTTCCCTTGGGACCCGGACTCTGAGCCAATTCCTGACTGTGAGGGACTGGTCTTCACTGGGCCTCTCTCTCCTGCAGACATCGCTGCTCTGTGGCGGGAGATGAAGGCCTTGCAGATAGCCTTCCTTCAGTATAAGAAAGGTAAGTTCCTGGACCTGGACTGAACCTGAGCCAGTCGCCAAGGGCAGGTCCCAGGCGGGGTCCTTGTTTGGGTTTGGAGTGGGCCAGGCCTGAGGCAGGCCTGGTTCTAGGACTGGGGGCTCTAGGATGCTAGTGGGTTTGGATGATGGGCTAGACCTGGGACTGGGGCAGGACCTGGGGCTAAGGATAGGGTGGGGCAAAGCAGGGCAGCCACATGTTCGAGGAGCTGGAAGCAGATGCCAGGGACACGGAGCAGGGTGTGGCCCCAACACCAGCTCAGTGGGCTGGCGCCGCATGGTCAAGGCTACCAGGCTCCAGCCCCCACCATCACAGCCACCTGTGACCCGAGCCAGATCAATGCCCCAAGCCCAGTGCAGGTCAGACCTTCCCTCCCGCCAACCTGTGCTGGTTCTTGGACACCCCACTACCCAGGATGCATTTCTTATCTCGATGGGGCTGGGTGTGCAAACCCCTCAAGATGTTGTGCCCAGCCCACAGCAGCAGCGACTCCGGACACCGTCCTGAGAGTTGGGGCTGGGATGCTTGGGTTCAAGGCTGTGAGGGTCTGACCTTGGCATGTGGCCATTGAGAGTCTCACCTGAGACAGGCCCTGGGTCCGGCAGGGGACAGGCTGCCTCTGGGCTCTGCCAGTGCTGGGCTCTCCCGCTGCTCCCTGGGTGATCATGGTGGAGACTCTCCCCCAACCTGGGTGCTGAGGAGTCAGAGGCCCCAGCAGCACAGCCCAGTGCCTGTGCCTGTGGGCATCTCCACCTCAGTCCCTAATTTCCCCCCCTCCTCCCCGCTTTCCACATGTCAGCTTTGAACTCAAATCATTCAGCAAATCTCATTGATCCAAAGAGGTGTTTCTTAAGGAGGAGAGTATGCAGGGGTGAGACATAGGGTTGGCTCTTACATACTTAAGGCCACTGAGTACCCACGTACCAAGGGTGAGGTTTCAAGCATTTGGTATGTCTCCCTCTCCACAAACATGCATGTGTGCTTACTCACTCACATGCACACTGATGCAAACAAAGGAAAATTCATGGTATACACCTGACACACATGTGTGTATTACACACATGCCATCACTCACCTCACATCATCTACACCCATGAGTACACACGCATATTCACACACACCAGGTGGACCTTCAGTGCTCCCATGTGCCTCCAGATGGGCACGTGGCCATATTCATGTATGCACACACAGACCCACCTGGGTGCATGTAGTGAATGGCAGAGGAACTCCTGTCCAGGGCTGCTCCGGGTGCCCTCCTGAGCCTGTGGAGAGTCTGGCCCCTGAACCCTTGTGGAAGGGTCACAGTGAATCGGGGTGCAGCCTGGGCTCCTCACCAGCCCTTTGGGGCTGGAGCACAGCCCTCTCAGGAGCCCTGAAGGCTTCTATGCAGGAACCCAGAAGTTAAAGGGATGGAAAAGGAGCCTGGCCTGCATGGCCCAGTGGTTGAGCGACGGCCTATGAACCAGGAGATCATGGTTTGATCTCTGGTCAGGGCATGTGCCTGGGCTGTGGGCTTGACCCCCAATAGGGGACGTGCAGGAGGCTGCCAATCAATGATTCTCTGTCATCATTGATGTTTCTATATCTCTCTCCCTCTCCCTTCCTCTCTGAGATCAATAAAAATATATTAAAGCACACACACACACACACACACACACACACATATACATAAAGGATGGAAAATGAGATAGAATGAGAACATATAGTTGAATGTCACAGAGATGATGCTTTTATAAATTGTATTCCCATCTTAGAGATGAGGAACTGGAAACCCCGTAAAATGAAGTGACTTTCCCTTGTCCACCTTGACAGTCATGGCCAAGGCGGGGCTGAATACCTGGCCCTCTGACTCCCAGACAGGCCTCTCTCCAGCACTGACTCTCTCCTGCCCCTGACGCTCATGCACACCTCTCAGCTGTCCTTGTCCTCTCTCCCAGCTCTCCAGCCTCACCCACATGCACACCTAGAGGCCAGCACTGGGTGCACACAGTGCAGAGATTAGCACAGCTCTACCCTCAGATGGCCCACCCTCTCCTCTTCTTTCCCACATCCACACGCGGCAGAGACCTCGCTGTCAATGCCACATGCCCTGCTGTTATGCAGGGTCCACGGTGAGATCACAGGGAGCACCATCCTTGTTTCCAGCTCTCAGTGGCTGCAATGCCATTTCACTGCACGAAGTCAAAGCTTCCCAGTCCCACCCAGTAACTGGGAAACCGATTCTGCCATGCGACATGGGGAGAAAGAGAAAGAGCACGTCTCAGCTCTAGTGTGAGATCAGTAAAGGGTGACTCCCCAGCTCTACATGTGATGGTCACATGATGTTGAGCCTCTTACTTAACCTCTCTGAGCCCAGTGTTCTCACCTGTAACTAGACAGGCAGATCCACCTCCCAGAGCGCACCGCAGACCCGGGGTCTCACCTTTGTCCTCCCTGGTGCTCTGAGGCCCTATATGGGAGACCTGGGGCTCTGGTTGGAGCATAGAGGTCTCAGAGCCATGGAGCTTTGGCAGGTGCCCCCAGAACCCCAGCCTGACTGTGCTCTCCTCCTAGTGGAGCTCTTCCCCCACGGCCGAGGTGTTGGCCAGAAGGTCTTCAAGTCAGCAGGCTTTGAGAAACCTTTCCAGGAGGCACAGCAAGTGTGCGCACAGGCTGGGGGGCAGCTGCCCTCCCCACGCTCTGAAGCTGAGAACCACGCCTTGCAACAGCTGGTTGAGGCTGAGGACAAGGGTAATGCGTTCTTGAGCATGACTTTCTCCAAGGTGGAGGGCAGGTTCACCTACCCAGGAGGGGAGTCCCTGGTCTATTCCAACTGGGCCCCTGGGGAGCCCAACAACGATGGAGGCAATGAGTACTGTGTGGAGATGTACACCAACGGCAAGTGGAACGACAAGCCCTGTGGAGAGAAGCGCCTTGTGATCTGCGAGTTCTGAGCCCTCGGGGTGGGTGAGGCAGTCAAGGCCCAGGAAGCTGGCCCAGACACATGTGCTGCCAACATGACAAGGAAGAGCTGAGGGCTCTGTGGCTGGGCTTCTGCACAGAGCCATGGGATGACGCCAGCCAAGGGCTCCCATGGAACTCCTCTCTCAGAATAAAATATGAAACTGGCTTCATATACTGCCTGCTCTGTCTTAGGAAGAAGGGGCCAGCCTGCATTCTCAGTTGTAAGGGATAAAATTAGGTCCCAAGATCCAAAGGCTCCTCCTCAGCCCTCTGCCTCCTCAAACTGTCAACCCAGCAAGTCACTCCCTCCTCTGTCACTCCCTCCGCTGTCACTCCCTCCTCTTGCTTTGGTGTCCCCTATGGCAGTTCCTTATCTTCCTCTTTTGCTAGCCCCTCCTCCTCTTCTTGACCACTTAATGGTGACCTGCTCAAGCCTTAGCTCTCCTTTCTCTCCCCTCCTCACCCTCACTCCAGGGATGAGCTCATACTGTCCAGGGCTCAGATCCCTGGCACCCACATTACATGCCTTCCCAGGACCTCCCGGAGCCCCGGACCCCTTGGCCAATGCCAGCTGGAGCCCCAGGCCTGGGCGGTTCCAGTGGCTGCTCCTTGTTTCAAGGCCTGAGCCCAGGAAGGTGCATATCACCATGGGATGACCTGGCAGGTCATCTGCCTCCCTGGCAGGACTGTGTGGCCCAGTTGAGTAGCCTCCTCCGCATCCCTGCACACCAGGACCCCATTCTACCCTGTCATTGTGACTGCCTGTCGGCTCATGGAAGGGAGTCCCACCTGCACAATCCCCATTCCAGCCGAGATCTCAGGCACAGAGGGTCCAGCCATGCTCAGGTTCACCTCCAGCCCTGCCCTGGCCTCATTCCAGGAGGTTCTTCCCCCAGGCCGGTCAGAGACAGCTGGGCAGTTCCTCCTCCTCCTCCCACAGAGAGAGGGGGAGACTTGCTTAAGGCCCCAGGTGTGTCAGTGCTACAACTTGGTCTCCTGAAAGGTCATCAGATCCCAAACCTTATATTTCTGGCCTGTCAACTTTTAGACCAAAGGCCTCTGTTGACTTTAATGTCACTTGTGCTTAAGAAATTGGAATGAAACCTGGAAGAAACACAGTTTCATAGGAGAGGCAACAAGACAGGAAAGAGGCCCTCCTTTGTTCCCAGGGAACGGAGGTCACACCCCTCTTCCCAACACTCACAGCCACACCTCAGATTTAGGACAGCAGGTCTGAAAGCAAAAAGCCACCTGTAATAACCATGGTGTCAGATGGGGAAGAGATTGATCGAGATGATCACTTAGTAAGTTATGTAATGACTATCCAATAGTCAACCAAACTTAATATAACACAGTATGTCACCTATAATTTAAAAATGAAAAATAATTTAAATAAAGTGATTATTGATAGGTTATAAAAAAAAGGAAAAGGACAACAAAAACCACACCTCCCAACAGCACACAGCTCAGTCTCTCTGCTGAGACCTTTTTCCTGTCACTGAAAAAAAAAGCCCCAAGTCCTGGCAGCTTCTGAAAGATGTCACTTATGCAACAGTGAGCAAATACTCTTCAATTCAGAAGTCACACCAGACTCCATCTGCCAGGGAGCTTAAAAAGGTATTTCATTGCAATACAAAAGAAAAAGCAGTGGATATGGTTTAAGCCCAGGGAGGCATTTTTTCTAAGAATGAAGAGTTCTGAGGTGGCTCAAGGACTGCGGGTGCACAAGCAGCGCTGTGCGGTCTCCCTGCTTCTGCCTCTGTGCATCCTCACCTCTCTTCCTCCTTCTCCCACCACCTTCTTCTGCTTCAGGCTCTCAGCTGCCCAAGCACAGAGTCATGTGTCACACAGAGATCAGAAACCCTTGCTAGATATCAGGTCAAAATTCCTGTGGAAGTGAATCTGCCTGTCTCAGATGCCCACCTCTGGCCCAATAGACTAGGCCTGAGGTGGACCCCACAGCACAGTATGGCCATTGGGACCCATGGAAGGTCATGGTAGTCTGGCAGTCTCTCTAAAACTGACCTCTTCCCATCCCCACTCATAAGGTAACCTATTTCTTTGATAAGAGTGGAGGGAAATGGTATAACTGACTCAATAGGGAGAAAAGATGTGTCCTGTGGGGTTGAGGGCCAGGAATGTGGAGACCCCGGGGCCCTAGGAGAAGCTTTAGATCCACCTCAGCAAGGGGTTCGGTTCGCTCTGCAGCACAGAGAACAAGTAAGGAGGGTCATTTGGGCTCTGTAGACACAGCCCAATGAAAAGCAAGGACTAAGGCAAGTATTTCAGAAAATTCAGGTTTTCACCCTTTCTTAGCACAGAGACTCTCCTACACTCACATTCATGGCCAGAGGTGAACACGGGCCTTAAACATCATTAGCCCTATCATCAACAAATCAACAAATGACAAGTGCTGCAGAGGATTCGGAGAAAAGGAACATTCGTGCACTGCTGGTGGGAATGCAGACTGATGCAGCCACTATGGAAGACAGTATGGAGTTTCCTCAAAAAGTTAAAAATGGAACTCCCATTTGACCCTGTGATCCCACTTCTAGGAATATATCCCAAGAAAACAGAAACATCAATCAGAAAAGATATATGCACCCCAATGTTCATAGCAGCACAATTTACCATACCTAAGATCTGGAAACAGCCTAAGTGCCCATCAGCAGATGAATGGATTAGAAAACTGTGGTACATCTACACGATGGAATACTATGGTGCTGTAAAAAAGAAGGCATTCTTACCATTTGCAACAGCATGGATGGAATGGGAGAGCATTATGCTAAGTGAAATAAGCCAGCCAATGACAGAAAAATACCATATGACCTCACTCATTTATGGATAATAAAGACCATTATAAACTGTTGAACAAAAATAGATACAGAGGCAGAGGAGCTTCGATCAGACTGTCAAACTATAGCAAAAAGGTTGGAGAGGGTTGGGGGATGGGAGGGGTGGTAAGAGATCTACCGAAGGACTTGTATGCATGCCTATAAGCATAATCAATGGACACAAGACACCGGGGGATAGGGGAGGCCAGAGGAATGTCAAGGGGGCGAAAAAAAATGAGACATATGTAATATTCTTTGTAATACTTTAAGCAATAAAACAAAATTAAAAAAAAAACATTATTAGCCCTGCCCCACCCATTGTAGCCTTGGTCCCTAGTGTAGTAGCCTGGGTGCCAAGTGAAGCCAGGACTGCATGACTCTGACCTCTCAGGAGATGCTATGACCCTCACAGTGCCAGGTGTCATCCTGGGAGCAGCCTGGGGTCCTTCCACTTGCAGAGAGTGAAAACCACAGCAACTCCATGGGGAAGCCCTGTTCAGTTAAATAGTATAGTCTCAGATCACCTCCTGGTTCTCAACTTTCTTGCTACTCAACCAACCCACTTCCCATCATGAGCTGACAGTGGGGCACACTCTGATGTTTGCTGGTGTTAGGATCTTTTATCTTTGTCCTGAATTCCCTCGACATAAAACACTGAGAACTGAGTTGCTGAAGTTCAGAATAGTCTCAATCACTCTTATCTTTGGATATCCTTAACTCAAGCTTAATGGTGTGCTTGACCTTTTCAAGCTACCGGTGTTTATATACTAGAGCCAAGAACCCAGGTATCTACTAAAGGGGACAAAATATGTATAAGCTAAATATTTATCAGGATGGATCTTTCTGGACCTTGAGTGAGATTTGGAGTTAGTCACTGCAGCATATGTAGCCCATCTTTACTGCATAAATTTTGAATATTAACCTACTTGACTTTCAGTTACCTAAGCAATATAGTCTCTCTCAGGCTGCCCGACTCAAACAACCTTGAGCCACATTGGGATCCATGAAGGTCCTCCCTACCTGAGCAAAACGGTACTTTTCATATTTGTTTCACAAGAAGACAGTGAAAAAAATGAAATAGTTGAGTGAATAAAATCCTGATTTCCTATTTGTAAGCCTGTTTGTATAGTTGAATAAAGTGTTTTCAAGACATTTCCAGGCCCATTGCCCTGAGGAAATAGCACTGTGACCCCACTGCCAACCTCTCTGCACTTTTATTAATTCCCTGAATGCTTCATTTCACATGTAAGCAGCTGGGGTCAGGTCACAGCCAAAGGTCAGATGACAACTTCAGGCCAAGGGAATGTGTTCTATGATCAGAGGGCTGAATTGGGGCAGGAAAGGAAGGGTACAAGAGTTGCTGTTTTTTGAGCAAGCCCAGGACGCCTGGCCCTGGCCACAGAGGGCCTGAGAGGATAGGAAGATGAGGAGAGAAATGTGAGTTCTCCAAAGACTCAGTTCCAAAAAGGAGTGAGGCTGGAAGACCTTATCACGAGGCCTTATGATCAAATAAACATCCTAGAACAGTCAGAAAAATTACTTAAAAAACAATGAGAATGGAGTTGGTCCTCTTATGTTAAAAGGTTTTATAAAACTAACATAATTATAATAATGTGTTACTAACACAGAAATAGATGGACCAAATGTAAAGGTCACCAAATCCAGGCCCAAGTATGTCTATACATATATGTCCTATATGCATGATAAAAATAGATTACCAAGTTTATAGAAAAATAATGAATGATTCAATTAATAATTCACAGTTAAATGGTTAAGCATTTAGAGGAAAAATGAAATCAGATTTTTTACTTACATATAAAATTCAAAATCAGAATTAATTAATATATAAAACTTCTCTGCTAAAAATAAAGTAATGTAAGATTAAAATTGAAATGCTTATTTATCTGCAAAGTATATAACATAAATCAAGAAGAAATTGATGATTATTGAAGTAGGAATGAGAAGAGAAATAGCTAAGAATGAGAAGAGAAAATTCATGAAATTAGATATACTGATGGCCAATTATAAAGAAACATGAAAAATGTAAAATATTAGTAGTAAAGAAACTCAAATTAAACAGCAATAAGCTTCCAAAAATTTATGGACTAGAGTTCAAATTCTACTAGAGGAAAAGGTAATTTACTTTCATTATTAATAATGACAAAATAAAGCATGGACATTGAGTGTGGTGTTAAGCCATCTCTGAAGCATCTATCTATCCTCCATCTCAGACCGTGGGTGCTTCCGCCTCTGGACTCCTCAGACCCCTTCCACATGGTGCATCCTAAATGCACCCCACCTTTCCTGGTCCCTGCCCTTGGGATGC